AAAATTGCTAAATGCTCTTGCATAATTATGCCAAAATAACAATGACACACGAAATAAAACCAATTACTAAGGATCAGAAGAATTAAATTCAAAGAAAGATGAAAATATCAGATTATAATGTTTTATTGTGTGTACATACTGAATACAATTACTACACAAAATTCTCATATAAATCATCATAAGCTGCTATGCTGCATGTTCCAGTGTTAAGCGTCCAGGAACAGAAATTTAAGAGTTAGCTGAATATTCCGTTTTCTTTTCCTTTTCGGACTCTGGAAACCTGAATGGTTCAAGATTCTTTTGTTAGCTTTCAAGAAAAAGCTAGACTTTGTGCCATCTGGAAGGTGAGAGCAGGTGGCACATTTCAGCAAGCCATTGGTACGAGGCAGGGCTATTTGGCCGATCCTTTACTCCTCCAGAGCAGCCAGCTCAGGCTCCCTTGTGGCGCGGTTTCAGACAGAAGGCTCTGCTTTACCATTTACAATGCTGCCATCTATTGACCCCGTGGGCTTTTATCTCACAATCCGTGGCAATATTTTCCTTTAGCAACTTTTTGCACTTGTATTTGCACTTGTATTTTTCTCGATGGGATTTATCTGACTAAACATACACACCTGCAATAACAGCACCATGTAAGAATTGCCTCAGGCTTCCTTGAAAATCACTGGAAAAAAAAGCACTTCTGGGGTGGGATTCACATCTACCCCAAGTAAATAACCAACATATACCAGATGAACAGCATCCAAAACGCATTACTGTGCTTTGCCCGTGGCTATAATGATATCTTGAGAGTGACTAGCTCAGGTGTAGAAATCACTGTCAGACTGTAGGTGAGCACAGAAAGACAGCAAAAGGAATATCATCCCCTGTCCCAGTGTGGAAGTTTTTAGAGGTGCTCCTGATATTTAATTTATCCATGTACAGTGGAGTCACAGGAGCTACAGAACAGAGATATGAGCTACATCTAACTTTAGATAAAAGTATTGGCATTTGGTCTAGAAGTCTACCTCCACTTCATGTTTTCTTTGGCTGTAAAATTGTTTTAGAAGATATTTTACCTCCCCCCAGCTCTGCCTCTGGTAGCCTGTCCCTCAGATAGCCAGAGGTAAGAGAAGTCTCACATGTAGTTTCCTACACACAAACACAGCCACACACCTTCCCCCTCCCCCATATCCCCCAAAAGAGGTACATTTTCCTGTAAATTTTATGAATTGTAGGTTCACATTATACAGGAGCTAGACCTAAGAAGGATTTATTTTAATCCAAGCAAATATTTTATATAATGATTGAAAATCTGCTAGAAAAAAATGTAAAATATTATTTTGTCTTAGTAAAGCCCAAGTGGAGTCAATAATTGCAATATCTTGGACAATCTGCAGTTATAAATGTGACTTATTTTGAATTACATTTAACTCACTTCAGTAACACAATCTTTGCAAAGTAATAGTCTACCCACAAATTTGCACAAGTTTTGCAGAGTCACACATTTGGGTGTGACAGATACATGATTCTTGAACAGTGGAACAAGAAAAATAGGTTACTGCCTACTTTCCAACTTCCAGTCATTGCCACTGTGTGCTGGAAATGACCTCTCCTTCAGATCTGATGCCCAGAGCGCTTTCTCAGCTTATGTAAGTGTGCTGCAAATTTAAACCTTCTACACTTCTTTTTTTACAAACCTCCAGTCATTGAACTCATAGCTCCTTAAAGAATAAGTTAAGGAAATTAATTGGCTAATTAATGAATCTGAGTAGCTGACAAATGTTCTCTAAGACTTGACAACTGCAAATGCTGTTTCTTATGAAGAAATTTCCGCACTCAAATAGGTAGCAACATTTTTCTTGCCAGGAAACATTTCCCAGCAAAGAGTGTCCTTATTTTTAGCCTATTGGAGCAACACTGAAAGCTACAAGGAACACAGTCATGGAAGAAAGTAGTTCAGGAGGGACGTGCTGCATTATGGGACACCATTGACAAAACTGATCAATAAAAGCAAGGCTCCCCTGTGAGGCTTCTGGCCCTCAGCCTGTGAGAGATGTCACGCTGGAATCAATAGGAGCTATGCTTTCATCACTAAATCATTATTTTTGAGAAAGAAATTGCAGGGGTATTCACTTCATTCTAGATTCAGTTTACATTTTTTTATGCTTCATGGGTGTAGAACAAACGTATTTACCAATCAAAATTAATGTGAGACCTTTTTTACTGTTGGGTTGTGGGAGGGACTGTGAAGGGGGCTTCCTTTAAAAGCAAACCTTGCCAGGGTGCTCCTTCTCCTCTGATAAGACAGATTTTAAACTCATTAAATATCTACATGGTCTTCCAAGGCAAACACAGCTCATACAAGAGCAGATATCTTGTGAAGTGAAAGATTCAGAAGTCATCCAGGGAAAGTGATCAGGTAAACACAGAGAAAAAAATTGGTTTTCAGCAGACAAGAAGTACTGACTTAACTGTTTAAAAATTTATATAATTAGAGGTTTATTTAATGTGATATTTCTGTAGATCCCATAGCATAACTTTTTCTGTGCTTCCAGACAATAACTGTGCAACTGCAAATATGCATAAGGCAGATAGAAGGAAATAAGCAAGAAGCAGTTAACCTGGAATGTACACTTTATAAGTAAGACTACCCAAAAAAGTAGTATTTCAAACTGAAATATTAAAAAACTACAAAACATTACAACACTGATTGCATTTTCAAAATCGACATAGCACCAACATTACTCTAAACATTACTCTAAGTCTTTGCCTGAGACTGATAAGTTTAACAAAACCAACACATATGTCATACCTTTGTGCAGATTGCCCTGATGCCTTTCTCCCATACGAAGTGCAGCAGTTCAGCAAAAAATCATGCCTTTATTTTAATATATGTGTAACATAATCACCATAAGCAATATAATTTACTCCAACTAAAGATCTGTGCAGTCCATCACCACTTTTTCTGAGAGTGGCCCATGTCAGTGCCCTCAGGAATGAACAGGGCAAACACAGAGCAGCTCTTTCTTACTACACCAGGACTTCTTAAGTCAGAATTGTGTCCTGATGACTGACTAATAGATTCTCCACTTATGATTAGCCTGATTCCTTTTTTCACCTACTGACTCTCCAAGATAACCTCGATGTGCTGCTTCCTTCCGCCGGCAGTGTGCCATGTGTAAAAGCAGATACCAACGTGTGAGCATAAAGCAACCCAGATCTGCCTCTAGGAATACACAGATCAGAGCAAGAAAAGCTGGAAGAGTCTCTGAGTGCACTGGGTGCCCATCAGACAAAGCAGGCTGGTGATTGTATAAAGCACTTCTTTCTTGGAGACAGAGGCTCTCTATGAGTTTTTTAGCCATACACAGGGAAATCAAAAAACACTTGGGATGCAGGGGCTGAACGGGACCACAATTAAAATCCACTGCAGTATCTAGACTTCTCAGTTCTGCACAGATGCCTGACTTCCACAGGAAACTATACAGTGACACAGCAGCTGGAAGAAAAAAAATACACAGATGATGGAGAAGCCACTAGACCTTCAGAAGCAGTGACTTAGTGCTCTGAATATGCTGAAAATATATTTACATCCTACCATTTTTACTACTTTTAAAGAAGATCTTGTGAAGTGCTAAATGTGATACCCTTACCAGGCAGATTAGTAACAATTATTTTTTAAAATAACTTTAGTAGATATATGGGAAATAAATGTAGAAATCTGCTATATGAGTGAGGCTCAATATGAAATTTCATTTCACAACGGGCATTTTTAATTAAAGCAGGTAACAAAGAGAAGTTGTCTCAATATGATCTGCTGAAATTTTCAGCAGGCAAGCAGCTAGAGCAGTAAGCACACCAGGAGAGCTGAAAAACAGGAATAATCTTGTGCTGAAAGTATTAATTAAAAGTATGGAAATTAGAGAAGAGAAATAGCCTTAGTGGAGAGAAGCCCTTCTTGCTGGGACCAGGAGCACAAGCCACACTTGTGTGTTACAGCCCATCCATGAGGTGCCCAGAGAAAGGCACAGACAATGGGGTGGGACGGTCTGCTGAGGATCCTGGGCTGTTCAGTATCGTACAGCTCAGTGGTTTATTGACCATGAAGAAACACACAATAACATTATGGCACCAGGCAATAGCTGGCAAATTTAATATAGAGAGTGTAAAATGCTACACAGGGGAAAATGCAGTCCCTGCTCTGCCAGCTGTGACAGGTCCATAAGGGACTGCTCATTCAGAGTCCCATGAAAATACTGGCTCAATGCTGAACAGAAAATTAGATATTAACTATTGAAAATATAATAACCAGAGGATAAAGTATGGCAGGGCCACAGCACCACCACTATAGCGCACACATATTTTGAGTAACGTGTCAGCTTGGTGAGCACTGTGTGCGGGCTCTGGGACTGGAGATGGTGACCAGGGGTCAGGTGGGACAGCAGGAGCTCAGAACTTGCCAGAGAAGGGGAATGAAGCTGGTGAAGGGTCTGGAGCACAAGGCCTGTGAGGAGCGGCTGGGGGAGCTGGGGGTGTTTAGTGGGGGTGTTTAGCCTGTTTTCTCCTGTTCACCCTGGAGAAAAGGAGGCTCAGGGGTGACCTTACCACTCACTACAAGTCCCTGAAAGGAGGCTATGGTGAGGTCTCTTCTTGGTCTCTCTTCCCGGACAGCAAGTGACAGGACGAGAAGAGATAATGCTAAGGTGTGCCGGGGGAGATTTAGATTGGACATTAAGACAAAGTTTTTCACTAAAAGGGGATTAGACATTGGAGTAAATGTCTAATCACCCAGGGAGGTGGTTAAGGAAAGACTCGACGTGGCACTCAGTGCCATGGTTTAGTTTTCCGGTCACAGGTTGAACTGGATGATGTTGCAGATGTTTCCCAAACCAACTGATCGTGTATTCTGTGGGCTGGCAGCTCCAGGGGCGGCTGCGGGGAGCGGGGCCCCGGCAGCGCCTCCCCACAGCACCACGAGATGGCGCCGCGGGCCCGGGGAGCGCCGGCGGAAGCGGCGGGGGAAGCCGCGCTGGGCCCCGCCGGAACGGAGCGAGGGAGCGCTGGAGGCGGCCGTGCCCGGCTCTCCGTGCCCGCCGGAGCCCCGCGCTGCCCGGGTGGGTGCGGGGACGGCGGTGCCCCCGTGCAGGCTGCGGCCTCCCGCCCGGGGAGGGGACCGGGCTGAGGGCCGTGGCAGCCAGGGCGAAACGGCGGCGGGAGCGGGAAAACGAAGGGCTCAGGAAGGAGATGTGGGAGCCCGGGCGCCTGGTGAGGCCCAGGCGGGGGATTGTGGCCCCAGGCGGTGGTTGTGGTACCGTACGGGAGCGGGGCTTTGCCGTTTGTGTGCAGTTTATCGGCCCGGGGCCTGAGGCGGCGATGAGCGAGCGAGGGCAGAGCGGCGCTCCGTGCGCTGGGGCAGCCGGGACACAGGGCCCGTGCTCCTGGCAGCCCTTGGTGTAATTGTGTGCGCTGCTAGCACGGGCCGGAGCTGCTCAGCGCTGCTCCAGCCTTTCGGTCACTTGCCGGAGTCTGGGCACGAGGTCTGTGAGACCAGGAAATTACTTACGCCTTCAAAAGCTGTACGGAGAAGTTCTATTCTCTTCCTTGTTTATGAGTAAATTAACCAGATATATATATACAAAACTTAAGCTAACTGGCTACTGATAATTGTACAGCTTTCACACTTTATTTCTTCCCTCTGATTTTTGGCCGAAATAGCTTTTGGGTTTATGTCCTGAAGCTCAGAGAATAAGACCCTCTTTTGGGGACCCACAGTGGATTACACTGCTTCGGTTTCTGATAGGGCCAAAAGATCTGTAATACATACTCTAAAGTTTGAGAACATTGTTTTGCGTTATGCTAATTTGTTTCCCTTCCATTCACAGGAGTTGCTGCTGTTGTTTTAAGGACATTGATGTGAACATCGTAGTGATAGGTGGGTGTTCGTAGCATTCCTGTTGAGATGAGAAGGAGCTGTAACTGTATCCTAAGTTCTGGACAAGTCCTGTATTTACAGCCATTGGCAAACCAGAACACAGGGTAAAGTGTTGGGAATTTTACCCCTTCTCTGGAAGAGAAATAACTTTTGCTGCCAGCTGTCCCAGCAATCACAGGCTTGGGTTTCTTCGTGACTGTAACTAGGGCACTTCGGTATTAAAGTTAACGTCACAGCAATGCACAGTGTTAATCTGAAGCACAGAATGTCAGACCACTTTTCAGACATTTCTCTCTTCTGGTGGTAATTCTGCATCAGAAATATAAAATGAAATAGTGGGAGGATGCACGCTATTGATGTTGTTATGTTCACATTTTTTTAGCTAGTATGTACTAAAGTGAGTTCAAAATACACAGCACAAAATTATGTTTGATCCCTTAAACTGTGAAGTTTACTGCCAGGGGATTTATTGGAAACACCTGTTACTCATGGGGGTTTTGGCTTTAAATGCCAAAATCAGTTTGGGGATTAAAAAAAAAAAAAAAAAACCACTTGCTGAAATCAGGAGAAATGTACCTGGAAAAGTAATTCCTTTATGTTAGCGTCACATTTTACTGAGTATCTCCTACTAACCATTGCCAGAAACAATACTGAGTTAGGGCAGCTCTGGCCTGACTGAAGACAGTTTTCACAGCAGGGACAAAAGCAGCAGTGGGCAGAGGGGCTGGTCAGCTCTCTGTTGTTAGGGTCATTTCCAATTCAAATGTAGTTGGCTTTTTCATGAAAGTTTTGTAAAAATGTGTTTTGTTGAAACCTGCTGAATTTATTGAAATTCCACCTTCCTTTTATAACATACTATGTTTTTACCATAATATCATGCAATAGATTAGTTAATCTTGTGTCGATGGATATTGTGAATAGTGGAACCCTCACTGGTCTGCATTGGGCTTGGAGTTGTCCCTGTTTCCTTTATGTGGCCACACTGTATCGAACACACCACTAGTCCCACAGTGGTCCCAGAGTGGGATTTACTTAGCAAGTTATAAACCTCAGTGCATTGAATTTGAGTCTCAGGTATGACAGACATTGTCTCCATTTCTGTTGACTCCAAGGGAGTTAAATGCTGTCATTGCTTTGATGGGATTTATTTATTTTCTCTAATGCTCACCTGCCCCAAGCTGGTAAGGGGGACAGACATGTTTTGATGAAAGGGAGTACATCCCTGGTTCATTATCAGTGGAGGAATATTTTAAAACTGAGACAAGAAACTAGAAAAAATGTCCATCATTAATGATCAGTATAAGCAAACAAATCTCTTTCCCATTTTAAATTGTACATTTGGTCATGAGTTTCATATATTCAATTGCTACATATTTCATTTTTTGAAGTATAAATTATAGAAGTAGAACTATTACATTTATTTTTCTGCTGCTTGTCATGTTTCATATTTGATGTAGTTTGTTTTGGAAGAGTAATTCAACTGAAAATAAAACAAACTCACTTTTTAATTTCGTTTCCTTGCTTGCAGCATTTTTATGCTCTGCTTTATATTTGTAGTCTAATGTTTCATAAATAATTTATGAAAATAATTAAAGTTTCTATGTTTGGCAAAACAGGTTTTTCATATTTGGTAAACTATAGTTGGATGGTTTTGCCAGGGTTTTTCCCCTCCTTCCCTTTCAGAAACATAGGTACATGTTTTGTGTTAATAATAAAGTATCAAACTTTACCAATTACTGCTTTAAAAATTATTTACATTGAGATCAGTCCTGATTTCTGTTTATTCTGAAACTGTTTCAAAGACATTTTTGTCAGGTAGGAATTAGAGTAAACATGAAAATTAAACAAACCTACTTTGCTGAAGTAGAAATGAAAGAATTGGATATCATGGGCTTAGGTTTTTAAGTATGAGAAAAAGACTTTATGGCAACCTTGACAGTATCCAGATATATCTAGGAAAGATATATATGGGGAAGAGACAAAAAGTGTATGTGTACATCATGAGAGTGGAGATGAAAATTCTGAAGAAGGCAGTGGTTGTAATGAGACATTTGAACTGCACAGAGAGGGATGGCGCAGCAACCTTCTATCTGTGCATGGGTTTTGGGTGCTAAAAGTCACTGCAGTGTTTTGCAGTGATCTCAGTGCTGCCTTTCCTTCTTCCTCCAAGCAGGCAGGAGAGAATCCAGCCTGCTTTAGTTGCCTAATGCCTGAATCTGCAGCCTTTGCTGGCATGAGTAGTTGCATCAACTGCAGTGGGACTGCTCCTGTGTGTAGAGCTTCTTGCAGACATGGGGTTATGGTGTTACCAGGGCTTTATGGCTTTGAGCTTAGTGTGGCCTTTGGACACATCCAAAAGGACAGTGATTTGCTTTTGTAGTTGCTGCATGATTTGCATTTTGTTTGGCCATTCCATTCTCCTTTCATGCAGTATGGTTTGTCTGAAGTGACAAAAAGCTGCTCTTTAATGAGTATTGTTGAATATGAGGCAGAACACAACTGTACTGTATTCATATGCATTTTGAAAAACCCTGGCTTTATCCTGGTATGAATCTACAGTGGTTTGGCTATATTCCAGTGTTTCTGGGAATTGCATTTGACCATATCTTAAGAGTAGCAATAGGTAGTTTAGTGTACTCTTATTTCTGTTACCTTTCACTGGCACTTAAAGTTCAGGCTGAGGGTGAGAATGTCAGGAGAAATATGTGAATGAAGCAGCTAGCCTATTAGTGTAATAAAATAATTGTCAGATAAGAGGAGATTAAGAATATTTCTCAGTGATATGTACTGGTAAACCACCCTGGATATGTTGGTGATTATACATCCTGCCTGGGGGTTATAGAGTTCTTGTTCTCCCTTTCTACCCTCACAACCATTTTTTTCTTTTATTTTTTTTCCTGTCTGGTTGCCCCTCTTCCTTAAGCCTTTTCCTCACATTTAAAAATTGTGGTTGCAACTTGAACTGACCTGTGTTTTCTTCATGGGAGGCAGGATCAGATGCTGGAGGGAGGGGAAAAAAAAAAAAGAGAGGCAAAGAGAAAGAAGGGACAGTATGTGGTCAAAAGTCCACCACAGGTTAAACAGAAACCCCGCTGCATGAGTGGACTCAGGATGGGTTTAATCATTTTATGGCAATTGCTTTTTTTTTATGCAAGTTCCTGTGCAGACACAGCTAAAAAGTGAGAACAATTTGTTTTCTTTAAGTTTATGGTTTTTGTTTGGCATTAATTTGGAGAATAAAGGTTGAGGAAGCATGAAAAAAAAAAGAGCAACAGAAGAAATGTTCAGTTCCAGCATTTCAGGCTGCATTTTGTAGAAGACTCTATTTTAACTTTCTTACTGTAGTGGAGAATTTTAAGGAATGGGATTTTTATTGCTGTTAATCAAAAATCCATCAGTAAGAGACTTCAACTTGCCCCAACAGGGATGGGATGCTTAACAGCTGTAGGTCATAGTTCTCAAATATAACAAAAAATATATTGAGTGCCTGTGACCACCTTAATGCATATATTTTTATGAATTAAAAAGCTACTCTTTTCTTTTCTAGTTCACCTTGATCATCACCAGAACAAACTCCACAAGAGATGGTAAGAGGTCTTCACAGGTTTCTATGGAATAGCTTAGTCACATTTTATATATAACATGCATATAAACACTTTCATTGAACTGTGAGTGCAGACATGTAAAAATTAGATGTAAAAGTCGCTGAATTGCTTTGAAAATAGAATTCAGATTACAACGAGTGATTTGTCTACTCCTGGGAAGACTCCAGAGAAATAACAGGAGAATAACAGAGGACTCTGATCATTTGCCTTGGATTTATAGCTTTTGTTTCCTTGAGGAAATCTCTTATTTCCATTTATTCCACAGCTGAAAAAGCACAGACACAGAATTAAGTGAGACTAAAAGTGTTCCTTTCCATTTCCACCCAAATGTAAAACATATCTGTAATTTCTTTTTTAACAGATGTATTTTTAAAATTCAAATGTAAGGAAGTTTTCAAGGGTCACTTTCAACAAAAAAAACCCTCACAAAAAGTAGTTGGACAAGCACCAGCATCACAGTTCCATCTGTATGAACTGGCTTTTTGTCTTCCTTTCCCCTAAATTAACAACTGGAGCTAGTCAGCCAGACAAATCAACCAGCTTGATTCCAGAGCTTTCAGTAAAGTCATCAAGTTCCTTTTTAGAAACATTTTATAAGAACTGGAGATAATTTTTGAGCTTTAAAAGAATATATTGTCTTTTTTGCAGATATATAGAATGTAGGAGATACCTGCTTTTGTCAAGCATCATGGTCTTTCAAAAATGGATTTTAAAGTATTTTAATATTTAAGGAAAAAATAGTCAAAATGTTTTAAAAGTAACTTGTTAATGTATCAGGTTTGATAATAGGACATTCTCATCTGTCTGCTGAAGGATGAGGAGTCAGTATGACATTCTTAAGCAAAGGGAAACAGTAAATAAAGCATTGTTCATCCTAGCTGTTAGGTAGTTGGATGATTAAGGATGAAGAAATTCCATATGGAAGGCAGATGCTTTCCTTCTACCCACTCATCTTGGGAATGCTGCATTTTGGGAGCTCCAAATGCATGGTTTTGTAGCAGTGCAGTGTTAGACCAAGAGGAGAATAGCAGTGAAGTTTCATCTCCATGAATTCTTTCTTTTCAGGAAAGATAAGTTGACTGCACTTTTAAATCACATAGCTCAGCTGCACAGCCCTTCACAAATAGGGTGCAGTTTTTGATCAGGAATACCTTAAGGAATGCAAATTTGTGGTGGTTTTCTTTATGTACTCTGTTAGCTGAAGATATTTTGTTTCTGAGAGCACTTAGGAATAACCTAAAAAAGATACAGCATTGATCTCTTATGGAATAATAGGCTAAATTTTCCAGAAAGAAAGGCAGCATGAGAGTTGCAATTTTTATTCCAAACTCACTAGCATTTGCTTTTTTGTCTTAGAACCAGAAAGTGAAAACAAGTGTAAGTAAACTAAGTGAACCTCTCTGGATAGTGTTAAATGGAAAGTATTTTTTTAGGTTTGAGTTTTCTGGTTTTGCCTTGGGAATTATTTTCCCCACAGAATCATTTTTTTAAAGGGACCAAATGGTGCCAGGGCAGATCAAGAAAACAGACTTAAAGATTTTTGTCCTGTATGTCCTTAAAAGGAAAAAAAAGGAAAAGAAATCACCTTAATAAAGGACTGTAAATGTCACATTCATCTCTGAAAACGTCAGCTAGTTTTGCCATAGTTTTGAGTGTTTGCTAGAACATGGCTTAATTAAAATTTTCCTATTTCAAGTAGAGGCATTCTGTTTTACTCCAGATGAAGTATTTTCTATGGAAATTAAGACATGAGGGAAAGGGAGAAAATATTTGCTTTTTAGTTTACTTGTTCTAGGCTCTAGTGTACTTTATAGCTTTGTTTTTTTAAGATGCTCTATTCTGCTTTTTGAGAGCAGGGTGAGGTGGGAGAAGTGGCTTGTATGAAGGGAGCTTAAGGCTACAGGGACTGTGGGGCTTTGTAGTTGCTGGTGAAATGTGAACAGCATGAAACTTCTTCAAGAAAAACTAAGATTAGCTGGAAGACAGGAGAAGGTGTGTTACACTATGTTTCTTTCCATAGAACTGCTTTTCTCTGTTCTTTATCAGTGGCACTTTATTGCCTCTTTTCATGTTTTGGTTGGTGATGGATACAAAAGGGAGATTTACTGGCAGCTTGCATTTGGCTAAATACAGTCTTGTTTTTGATTGTGGCCACGGTGGAAATACGAACTTGTCTGAATTGCTGTTTGACCTTTTCTGAGAAACTTTGGCAGGCAGATGGAGGAAATACATTACTGGGGGAAATATGTTACTGTTAAAATGAATGCATTTGTTTAATGCAGAGGAATCTTAATCTCTTGTGTTTTCTGTCTGTGGAGTTGGAAATTAGGTATAGGATGTAATATCTACACCTTGGAATTACTCAATTCTTAAAACTTATCTGAGTGTCTAAGGAATTGTGGACTATATCCACATGGCATATTTCCTAAAAAAGACTCTTTCTTACTGTAGTAGCTTGAGCACTTGGAAAATACCTTCTGGACGCTACAACTTCTCTGTTTCTAGTTCTTCAGTGATAGTTGATGCCAAAGGAGTCTCTTGTAGGAGTAATGAGGCGTGGTGCAAGTGCACTGTGCTCATACATGTTGTTTTTCAAATCTCTGTGTTCTATCATGCTGAAGGATGACTAAAGATTAAAAGGCAGCATTGTGCTTGCATTTAGTTGCTCCTCTCAATTCTCTCTCTCTTATACCTTTTTTCTGGGGGGAAGCATGAGTGCTGTGGTGTGTGATTGTTTGTGTTCTTTCCCTCTCCCTGTGTGCTCTGGCTGCAGGAGGACACGAAGCCGTGGTACTCTCACAAGGTGTACGCCAGGTACTGGAGGCACTATGACTCAGCCATGCGCTGGATGCACAGGCACCAGAAAGCCTACAGGAGAGCCATGGAGTCCTTGTACTGCCTGCCATGGCATCCCTGGCATCCTGCTGCAGCCTCTCCAGGCAGCCACTACTCACATTGGCATGGGAATGACCTCCCACATATCCAACACTATTCTTCCAGCTACAGACCAGATGTCAGAGTTCCATGTCATGGGGGAGCTCAGCAGTATGCAGGTGCCTACCAGGAGAGGGAGGATGCTGATGAGGACTCTGAAATGGAAGAGGATGCTGAAATGGACTCTGAAATGGAGGAAGACTCTGAGTCTGAAGGAGAGATAGAATATGACTTGAGTAACATGGAGATCACAGAGGAGCTTCGTCAGTTTTTTGCAGAGACAGAGAGGCACCAAGAAGAGCTGCGTAAGTCCATGCTTGTTCTGTGTTTATTGGAATTATTACCAATATAACTGGATGGGACGTGCCTAGGCTTGTCTGGCCCTTGCTGCTTGACCAGAGGCGGCAGCTGTGGTGGTTTCACCTCAGAGACACCTTTGGCTGGCTGGATGCTCTAGCTGGGTGCTTGGGACAAGTCCAGGCATGCAGGAGCTCAGGTTTACCTCTGGTGGAGAAGCTTTAAGGTGAGGTGAAGGAAAGGAGTCGGGTTCTGCTGGAGGGTTTTGATCCAGAGCTTTATTCCTGGCCCACAGGCCTCTGAATCCCATAACAGCTCTAACAGAACCTCCCGAACCACATGGTTGTTGTTCCTTTTAACCCCAGGGAGAGGGAAGGGGTAGGGATCCCACCAACCAGGTATGGGGGGGAAGTCTCAGAGGACAAATGACACCTGGATGGTCCAATGTCCCCCAGGGCTGAAAGGCATCTTTTGAACTCTGCCAATCACTCTGGAATGCCAGGACTGACAGACAGCCCTCAGCAGGGGGCAAGGGAGGGGGAGGGAGAGGTGTTTGGCAGACCTGGGGCAGGAACCAGAATAACTGAGACAAGCTGTGGCATCTCAGTGCAATATGTGTTTTGTGGTATTTGGTGGCCATAACATTGAGTGCTGGGTGGTTTCAACATTTACAGGTTGTGTAAGAATTCACAGAAATAGGCACTGAAAGTGAGGAAGTCAGCTGACTGAAATAGGCAGAACTGATGGGTGCACTTAAGTACCACTCATTAGAAGTAAGTGTCAGAAAATGTTTGGAAGTTTTTGGTGAGAGAGAGAAAACAAATTATGACTGCAAAGAGGAGAATAACATTTTTGTCCAGAAGACAGTAATTTATCTTTTGTGCTGAGGAAAAAAGCTCCAGAATGTTTATGTGAATCTAGTTAATGTGCTGTATGTCTGAGGGGGGAACCCACAGGAAATGCTTGAATACATCACTGAACCCTAGAGTAACCCTCAATATATTTTATAACATGGAGCAGCCATTTTGTTTGTTATTTTTTGGATAACTTGGCAGTAAAATTTCATTACCCTTTTTTCCCCCCCCTGCATCCTCGTCATTCTGTACTATACCACAAGTTTCTCTTTGTTGAGCATCTTGATCTGGACCCAAGTCCTTTGGTAGGGAATGTAAGTCTTAAGATTTTTCTCAGGTCTTGATCCTCAGAGGTATTGGTCATCTTTGTTTCTGTGAAATCCTTAAAAGAGTAAAGGATTATTCTGTACTTTATTGATACTTTACTCATATGTAGATGTTGCAGAAAAATTTATCTGTTTTAAGAAAGCAGAATAATAAAAATAACTTCTCACATGACTCCAGTAGAAAATGTGTAATGTATGTTTAATAGAACTTTTTCTGCTTCTCTGAAAGAGAAAACATTCTAAAAACTTATAATAAAGGCAATGATTGAAAGGGAAAGAAAAAGTATGTTAAATTCTTTGATCAGCAGGTATCAGAGGGTGAGCTGATAGCTCAACTTCACACTTATCAATGTGATGCAGAGTTGATCTAGTTAGCAAAGTGAGTTAAGGAGTTCTGTGGTAGTGCCTGATATGAATCCCTTTCTCATTGTGCTTCTGCAGAATCAGCATGGTGTTCTCTGTTGAAATGTTCCTTTGATGAGATATATGGTGCTTTAAGACACTGGGCTGCTTCTGGGAATGCAGAACATTTTCTTTGGATTTTTTTTTTACCAGTATGATTAGTGGTATTTAAAGGTATGTGAGTGATTAAAGGTGTTATCCTGGAAATTGGGAAATCAGGGCTTAGAGATGCTCTCTGTTGCAAATACCCTGTATGACCTTGGTGTAGCTATTTAGTCTCTTCCTGACCCCTCACTGGCTGTGCTTGCTAAAAATATGACTTGTTCTTTATGATGAGCAGGTGAATTGGGAAGAAGTTCGTGACTCAGAATACAGATTTTACTTTTGTTCCTTCCACCACAGCAGAGCCTTTTTGGAATGATTTGGTCTCTGCTCTGTGCTGTGTGGTAACCTAGTTCTGGATGAGTGCAGCTCCATGTGCTTCGGTGGCACCATTGCAGATCTTCATGCAAATTCAGGCAGGCTCTGGTCTTTCACTACTGCATGCCTCAGTTTCTTAAGCAGCTTCCCTGATAAAGTGAGGATAGTGCTGAGTAAGCATCAGTAATTCCTCAAAGCATGAAAAAGTAAACAAGTACTTGACATTAATGACATAATTTAAAAGTGACATAGAAATCTGGGGTGAATGGTGCTTTCTAAATGCTAATTTTGTGAGTAATTGAAAACACAGTATTATCTTGTTTGTGGTGCATCTTTTCTTCCATGGTGAGGGAAAAGGAAAATAGAAGAAAATTTTTATTCTGTTAGAGTTTCTCAAAAGAAGCAGCATAAGCAGCAGGAGGAGGGGAAAATCATTGTTTCTCTAGTGGTTTGGAAATGAGCTGGTATGGAGACCATGTTGAAGGCAGTAGTACTTGACTTTAAGAGGTAGTTTTATTAATTTTCCTGATTGCTGTTTATGAACAAAATTAAATTTAGAGGTTCATTAAGCTGTGATCCATAATGATGCTATATCATGTTATATCTTTCATAATGTTTAACAGTTGACATTCTGTATTGGTGCTTGAGAAGATTGAGATAATGCATCCGCAAAAGAAACCCTCAGTTACTTGAGTATTTTCTCTGTAGTGACTTTTCCTTTTAATCCCAAACTGCATATCCTTAGGAGCAGATTTATAGAGAAAGCATTAACCTCAATAATGCCTGAAATTTACACCTCCAGTTCTGAGAGAGACGTTTGTAAGGGTGAGGCAAGAGTTTTACATAGCAGTTAAAGCGAATGAGATTGTTTGGGTGTGTCACGGTAGAATACCAATAGGGACCTTGACAATCAGTAAAAGTAAAAGCCAGTCGTTATGGGACATTAAGGGAAGCCTGTGTCTCATATTTTCTTCCTCTGGCATCAATAAGGGCTCCGGTTGGAATTCACAGCCTCTGACCCCTGCACCTTGATATTCATTCGTCTGGGAGAAGACACGAAGCTTGCTCTTCTTCTAAAGGCAGAGTTTGCAAGAGTTAGATACTCTTATGGGCAGCTTAATGAGCTGCGAGTCACAGGGGAGCAGAGCATCAATGGGGCAAATAGGAACGGGAATTTGGCACTTAGGGAAGGGGATACCAATCTCTGTGAATTATGACCTCCATTAGTTTGGTGATTTTCTACCTGTCCAAAGTTAGGAAATACTACACAGCATTATTGCATCTATTTTGGACACATGTAGTGAGTCTTGATTTTTCATGTGAGATACAGCTGGTTCCCACACCTGATCCACAGATGTCTCATAGGCATGTAGAAGGATAATCAAATAGATTAAAAGGAATCCTACCTGATATCAGTCTCTTCACTTGTAATGCCTGATCTAGAGCCTGCTGGACATAAATGATCACAGACATCAGAGGACAAGATCTTGCAAACTTTAACTGTGAAAGACTTAAATAGCCCTGAGGTAGGTGGGAATGAGGTGATTCAATCTTGGAGGTCTTTTCCAACCTTAATGATTCTGTGGCTCTGTGAAAGGCATTTGAGCCTGGATGGTGGCATACAAACCTTAAAGCTAATTGCAAAGAGAAAAGCTCCACAGATAGACTAGCCAAAGAAGAAAATTTAAGTTTTATTTAATTTCTTTGTAGCTGCCACAAACTTGAAGAGCAAGCAGATTTCTAACCTCTGCAGGATTTTTGGTTTTGTTTTCTCAGTGGGCATTTGCAGTGATTGGCTGACTTGCAAAGTAAGGGCTTTGAAACTGGCAAACTTGCTGAATGATTTAACACTTCTGCAGTGATACAGTTCACAGCCAACCTCTTTTAAAACAATCTTTTTTTTTTGTCTTTGAAGTCACATCCATTTCTTACTAGTTTTTGTATTTGTATCATGTGTTGTAGTCAATTACATGTTCCTGGAATGTCCAGAAGTAATTATGAGTAAATTTTGGCTGAGGCTGTATGAACTCAGACATACTAATACACTACCAACTTATCTCATGTTTTAGATAAATGGCATTTGGTTAAGACCCTTACAGACAGGTTTGATTCCTCTACATTTGTTTCTTGATATGCAATCATAATTATATAGTGATTCTCTTTTTTAGAGGGTTTTCTTGTCAGGCTAGTCTGTTGTTCTGGCTCTTCATGTAGCTGGTGATCCAAACCTACTGTGCCTCTTGGGCATGTTTATGGTTGCATTTAAGTTTTCCCTCTGGCAGTTGAAAAGCATGAAGTTGTTCCCCTGGGTTACCATACCTGTCAGACCTAGGTATGGTAGCAGATTCTTCAGGCATCCTAGATGTAAAGCACAGAATGCAGTAAGTTGCCTTTTTACATTTGCAAGAATTAAAAGGGCAAAAATCAAGAAAAGAAGATTCACAGCCCTAACAGTTCTGTAAATTGTCTAATTGTACATACTTGTTAGACTTTTAAATTTAGCCTTTGAAACATGTAGTTTGTCCTTATACAATTTTTCCTTGTTTCCTTTTGCATATAAGAGAAAATCACTGCTAAAATTGAGTGAGTACAGCATTGCAAGTACATTGAGAACCATTCTGTAGTAGTTAACAGGACACAGACAGAATCCTTTATTTAAAAGCAAAGAAAAGCAAGGGAAAGTACCATCATGTCAGTTCATTACCGAAGGATAATAGTCTATCATTTGTTAATGCTGTAACCAGTTTTTTCCATCAAAGCCTCTGTTCCTATTGCCCACACATAGCCTCCAGCTTTTCCCAAAAATAATGTCTGAACTTAAATTCTTTTTATGCTAGATGGAAAATATTTTTTTAGAAATGAACGGAAGTGGTGAATGAAGATGTTTGTTTCAAAACTGCAATCTGCAGACTTTTCCCCTCAGGTTTCTTTTTCTCTGAAAGATGGTAGTTGCCACTGCCTCTTCTGTGAAGAGGAAGTAATGGAATTTTCCATGTTTTGTAACTT